CAAAGTCACAGGAAAAAGTTAACTAAAGAAAAAAAAGCTACAGAATTGAATCGCAAATAATGCCAAACCATAGGGGATGATGGTAGTTTTCTGTAACCTTTTTAACGAACCAAAAAAGGCAGAAATTCCTCTGAAATGTAAGACTTCGACATAAGCACAAAAGACAAGGAAAAGGCATATTAGGTTAAACAACACCATTTAGCTCTTAAGAAAGATAATGCATCCCTTTTTAGCGACAATAAATTCCATCGAAAATTGTATCTACGTAGAATACATCAAGCCATGGTGGTCAGTCAATTTCACGGGTCTTACAAAGAACTTACAGAAAAAACTGTACCAAAAGTGTTCCAAGCCTTTTAGTCGGGAAACTTACTCTGCTACTTCCCTTCTGAGTGATCTATTTATATGCTACTATATTTCAAATCTTGACTGAATGGGCAACATTAAGAACACAGTTTGAAGGGAAAGATCTCCTCACAAACACAAAAATAGGTTTTCTTTTCGTTTTCTGAAGGGCATGTTGACTCACACTCCATCATTTAGGTCTCAAGAAACATAGGCATCTCCTTTTGCGCAAGGACAGATTCCACTCAGGATTACATCCAACAGGAAGCTAACGTATCATGATGGAGCAGTAGATATATTACATAGGGATGGCAACAAGGATGATTCAGGAAAGATAGGGGATTAATCCATAACGGAATAAATAGTTTGAAAATATACAAACTTATTGAAGAAATAGTAAAGGCACAGTTGCTAACAACAAAAACTGACGAAAGGAGCAAACTCACAAACACAGAAAATGTAGACAACATTAGCAAAAAAAAAAGCTTAAAAGCAAATAAAAGCAGCAATGGCAGTGAAGCCAGAAAACCAGAAAATTGAAACAACAAGACCAGCAATATCTGCGATGCAATCATGCAACGTATCCAACAACAAGATATCTGAAAGTAACAGATCCAGCTAAAAACTGAGACAGAAAGCACAGTCAAGGGAGACAAGAAAAACAGGTTTTTCATGTATAACATTCCAGAATGTTTGATAATTTGGAACTCTAATTAGCCACTTCTGGAATTTCTCGAGACACAATGCCCGGAACTTTAAAACACTTTATTTATACAATTCAAACCGCTTGATCTTGATAAATAAAGGGGGAAAGCAGGAAAAAAAGAAAACAACTATCTGTACCTGAACCTGCGCAGCGCGTTGCGATGTTGGATTAAGAACCAAACGTGAAGTAGTCCAGCAGAGTGAGCAATCCCGAGAAGAGACTGAAGCGGTATCGAGTAGGGAGATTGGACAGGAGGCTGTAAGAGACCAGGAGAGAAAACTAGCATGAAAAAAGCGCAAGTAGCAAAAAAGACGTTCAAAAATCACAAACATAAGCCTAGCATAGTGCCTATCAGATCAAGCTAGAATCATTAAATTATCTGGAAACCCTAAACAAGAACAAACAATTGCTCGTTCATTTTACAAACCCTAGCTGCACTCAATCTCATAACCGAATACATGTAAAGAAGAAGGTAGTATATGTAAGGTCAGAGAGACAAAAAGAGATGACTAACAGCGAAGACAAGAGAAGAATCCAGCAAAGGTAGAGAAATGAAAGTTTATCGAGAAAAATAAAAGATCAAATTGAGAAATTTAAGAAAACCGAAGGTAGGATTGATGGAGAAGTACCTGCGCATGAACCCGAGAGATTCAAGGGAAGAATTTTCTCAGTTTTGTTTAACAATTATGAATGGAAACTACCCCTCACATTTCACGGAACGACATTGCCTTCCCTTGTCCGATTGCTGGATTTTATCTTCCAAGATGGAATTTTGCTGGGATGACGAGGGTAACGTGGGAATTTCAAGGGTTTATTGTTATGACTTTTGACATATTCATTTCAATACCCAAACGTGTAATATAAAGAATTGGTCTTACTTTCAAACATTTTTTTAGAGTATCTGCATTTATGCAATGCAAAAAAACATATATAAAGGAAACAAAGCCATACCGGTTTCTTATTTTTTTTCAAAAAAATTATTTTATATTTAATATGATAATATATAAATATATAATAATTACATATTTAAAATTAAAATAATTTTTAAAAATATAATAATATAAATAACGGTAACATGATAATATATAATAAAAAAAATGTAATAAATGTTTTCTTTTCCTCTTCGATTTTGATAGGAAAACTTATTGTATTAACCGAGACCATTTAATATTTACCTAATTTTTTATAAAAATTTAAATAAAGATGAATAACTATCATATATAAATTTAATCCTCCCAATATTTATTTTAGTTTAAGTGAATATGAAAATTTTTAATTTAAAAAATAATTAACTAGTGGTGATTTGATTTTGGAAACCAAATTAATTTAAGATCTAAGATTATACTTATACCACTTTTTCTCAAAATCCAAAAAGAAAATTATTAACCCATCCATAAAACCCATTTATAATTCATCTGTGACCCAGTTCTTGAGCCAACCCATATTTTAGTTTAACATATTCTCTCATTCAAGCCCAATTTTAGTTTTCTAACTCTTGATTTTCTTAATATAATTATGTATGCTAGGATGGATATACATGGTAATTTTGTAGTATCTTCAAATTTACGTTATATATTTTTATTTTTATTTTTGAACATTATTATAATTTTCAAATATCATTATAGTTTTCGTGTATAAAACATGAAGTAAAAATAAAATATTAGAGTTTATTTAATAAATAAGAATATTTTAAAACCTATGAGACGTATGTTAGTCGTTACAAGTATAAGTATTTTTAGTATTTTACTAAATAACTTAATTTTAATATTACAGATTGTAAACTAATACGATATTTGTCTAAAAACATGTAAAATATCAGTCATGCAATTTTTTTGTTCATTTGTTGGTGCAAAATTGTAAACATTTCTAATTTCTTACTAAGCTAATGGTCATGTCAGTAAACGCCATCATATCTTTCTTTGTAAAATATTTGAATATATATGAGTACTTTTTGGACCTTTACTTTTGGATTATAGAATATATAGATAACTTTTGCGTTTAAAATTTTTGCTAAAGAATAAGGTACAAACTTTATGATTTTATTATTTTCTTCGCAATATAATATTTTTGGATTATATTTCATTTGATTTATTGTTAATTCAATGGACAATTGATTGACCTTGTGCAAGATTGATTTGTTTATGAGTTTTTAATTTGAGAGTGAACTCGTTTAATCTCGAATAATATTAAATTTTTAATGGTGCTTTAATTCGGCAGTGCACTTACTTGATCACTAACATACTTAATTTTTGTTAAAAAATAATCAATTGAAAGACAATAGAAAACTATTATTTATTGATCATTGAACGTTGTGAGTAATTTTGAATAAAAAAATCTTAATATATTGTCAATAAATGGGTTTTGTCAATACATACGATAACTGCAGAGATCCTATGATTTTTAAAAAAATATGTAATGAATTTATATTAAAGTTACTTATAACTTAAGCTTGAGCACAATCTTTTGGTTGCGTAAAGATTTGAAAACATTACATCGAGGAAGATGTCTACTTTTGATCTTAGGAGGAAGACTTTGGAGACGAAGAGATTTGATCTTGCTTTTGTTCTTAAAGGCTTTGGAGAGATGAAACCTTAAAGAGGAAGAAGTATGCTCTTACTCTTGCTTTCAAGATTTTTTGCTACCTCCTTTATAATCCTCTAAATGTTCGGAAAAAAAATCTCTACTTATAAATGTGATAATTTAGTCATAGTTTATTTTAGAAAATATATGAATAATCATGGTGATAACACATGTCCATCTTGGGAATCTATAGTTTGATAAAAGATTATACATAATTAAAATTTGGTCCATGCGCAAATAAAACTAAATTTGTTAAAATAACCGAACATAGTATAAATATATTTAGACATGGGTTAAGTTTAATAAAGTAATAATTGTATCTTACTATTTTTTTTTAGTTGCAAGAGAGGCAAAGACCTAAAGTACATAAGAGTTTTTCATGTACATCCGGTGCCAAGAGACACCCATGACATTATTCATGAGAAGTTGTTGGAGATCACCAGGCACCCAACCATGTTGATGGAGACTTAGTTGTAAGGAAAAACCAGCATTCGGCAACTAGTCCGCACATTTATTCCCTTCACAATAAGTGTGTTGAAATAAGTTCTTGATTTCACGAACAAGGGCAGCATGCGCATTCGTGCAGTTATCTTCCTTGGTAAGAAGACATATAACTAAAGAGCTATATATTTTTAAGATAATATTGCGGTGTCCGACATTCCAAGCGAGTTGTGCACCATTGAAAGCCCCCCAAAGCGCAGCCTGCATAACCAAACAACTACCAATTTTTCTGCTAAAACTCCCCAAGCATATTCCATTCTCATCTCTGATAAGACCACCACAGCAGGAGAGGCTGGTGGTAGCACAATATGCACTATTAATGTTTACTTTGACCCACCCCATAAGGGGTTTCTACCAAGCGATAAGGTCTTCAAATCTACGAGCCATACCTGGAAGAAAAAAAAGATTCATAGAGTTAGACATAAAAGTATAATAAAGACATAAGGGATACCTCCTTAGCTAGCTCATCGATACTACTACTATTCCCTGAGAAGATAGAGTTACTCTAGTGATTCTAAAGTTTTCAGCAAGTCAGACCAAAAGTCACACTCTAATTTTAAAATTTCTTGCAACAGAACCATCAATTCTTGAGATTCAACTTGAACCAATCATCTACAGCACCACTGAAAAAAGTAGTTTGGGCTTCAACATGAATGATTCGTAACCAAAGTAGTTGAGTCGTGCTACCTTTATGAAGGATATGGTCCAAATCCTCAATAGAATTGCCACATATACTACATCTCATATCACAGGTCATATGTCATTGATGTCTCTCCCAATTCATCAAAAGCTTCCCCTTCGCTACTAACCAAAGGAATGTACGCACACGCTAGTCTCTTAGCCAACGTCAAATGTCCGTCCGAATATGATCCTCTGGGTGCCGGTACTCACTTTTCAGAAGGCTATAAACATAACTAATAGAGAAACTTCTTAAGCTCGTCATAACCCAATAACAAGACTAAGAGATGTTATCATCCTTAGGAGTTTGCACCGCAGCCATCTGAAGTAGTGTACCCGTCGGCAATATATGATGTAGGACCTCCCAATCCCATTGGCCTGACGGTGTAACATAATCCCTGACACGCTTCTAGAGCTCTTGCTCTTTAATAGGTGTATAAGTTAGTAGCTTAAAAGGCTCCATATCTCCTAACCAGCAGTCCTCCCAAAACATATCATTTTTTCCATAACCAATAGACCATTTGATGCCAACTTAGAGGTCCGTCGCAAAATGGTTGAGGTTCTGCAAAAAATGGGAGGCTAGCCCATTGGACTTGTAACTCGAGAAAACCTCGACCATTTGTACTTTTTGGTGAGAATCTAAACCCAAAGAATACTAGGTTTAATAACTATAGTAAAGCCCAATTTCATCAAAAAGGCATTATTCTGATTATGGGTAGATCGAAGACTGCTTTCTCCAACTTCACAGGGCATACACATGTCATCCCAATTGACTAGGCTAGGTTTTCTGTTGCCATTCACTTATCCCCAAACAAAATTCCTAACCACCACGTCAATCCAATTCCACATGGCTTTGGATAAGGCCATGGTCTGCATGGCATACGCATGGATGATCATAAGAATAGACTCAGCCAAGGTTAATCACCCTGCAAAAGAGAGAAGATTAGCATTCCAACCGAATAGTTTCTAATTAATTTTTTTAAGAATGTAAAGATAAGTATCTTTATTGACACAGTCATGCAATAAGGGAACCCCCAAGTACTTTCCAAGATTGTTCAAGACTTGAAAATCCAAATTTTTACTAATACGACTACTCTCACCTGTATTGACATTGCGAGAAAAGAAGATAAATGTTTTATTCGCACTCATTTTGTGGTCTGAACTAGAACAGAAAACATATAATACCATCTTAATAACGTTGGTCTGATCATTATTAGCTTTCCCAAGAATCACTAAGTCATTTGCAAAAAAGAGATGTGACAGGGCAGGACCTTTTTTAACCAGGTGTATTAGTTTTCAAGTATTATTCACCACCAATTTATTGATATAATGAGACAGTCGTTCCATACATAACACAAAAATGTAGGGAAAAAGTGGATTGCCTTATCTAATACGTCTAGTAGGTCAGAATTCATGGGTCAAATAACCGTTCCACAATAATTGCATAGAGTAAGATGAGATACAGTGCATAATCACTTTGATAAGGTTAGGAGGGAAGCCAACATCAAGGATTGTGTCATCGACATACTCCAAACGGATACGATCATATGTTTTTTTCAGGTCAACCTTAAAGGCCATCTACTAGTCCTTGCCTTTCATGTTTCGCATCAAATGGACCATCTCTTGGGCAATAATGATATTATCTATAATACTCCGCCCTGCCACAAAACTAGCTTGGGTAGGACCAATCAAGAAAGACATCAAACTCATTCTCAGGTCTTGCCACTTTAGGGATGAGAATAATAAAGGTTTTGTTAATTCTAGCAGGCAACTATTCGCCTTGGAATATTTCCTTGTCCAAAGTACAAACAACGTCACCCACAATACTCCATTGACTATGAAAAAAAGTCATGTGAAGGCCGTCGACACCGGGAGCCTTGATGGGGTAGATGCTAAATAAGACGTCATGTATTTCCTAATCCATCACCCTAGAGGCTAACTGTGCCACCATATCAACTGTTAACTTAGGAAAAGAGCCTCTAACGGGATACTTAGGGAGGGGTACCTCATCAGTCGTATACAATTGCTCAAAAAAGGAAGAGGCCATTGTATGAAGTTGTTCTTTGTTTATAACCTAATCATCATTACCATCTTTTAACATCCTAATTTTATTCTTATTC